GAGGGGCATATGTATGGGTTGGAAAGCAGGGGGTCATCCAGGAAAGTCCGACACAACTAAGTGTAAAATTAACCAGCCCCATGGGGCTGTGGATTATATTAGGGTTGACCATATGTCTTGTGTGCCTGGGACAACTCCGCTTTATGCCTGTCGTCCCACGGGCGTTATTAATATGCCCGCTTTCACTCTTAGAAGTTTCTAGGTTTGGCTGATAAATCACATGGTCATCCTAATTGTGTGTCACTTTGTGCGTGCACTTAGTATAGATGTGGTGTGCGTAATGTATTTAAAGAAAAACCTATACCTGTGTGCTTCAACTGCTCAGAAGTTGGTGGTAGGGTAGCATTATTCTATGGCTGTGGCTAAGCCGTCCCACAGCACGTGCTGCTGAGAGGTGAGATATGGGCCAAAATGTCAGATAGATAACAGCTTAGATCCTTCCTCATAGCTTACTAGTTTTTTGACCTTGAGGAAATTACTTAGCTTGTCTCGACTGTAAATGGGGAATAATCATACAGACCTCAGCAGATGGTGCTGTTATGAAATAACCCATGTCAAGCCTCTAGCTTATTTCTTGTCGAGTGTTAAGCTGCCAACAAATGGCACTGCCATTATTAATTATTATTATTATTATTATTACAATTATTATTATTATTATTATTTCATGGCTAGTATTATTTTGGGTTAGTCTCTCCATCGGTGACATGGTGAAGGATGGTCCTGTCCTGCTCTGCTCCCCGGGTCGTTGTGGGGCTGAAAGCAGGCAGTATCCTCAGAACCTAGTGTCGCGGGGAGCATGTGCGCTGTTTGAGGTGAGGAGTTTTGGCAGAGTCGCACTTGCCCACCTGCCCGGTGGACCCATTCCCTCCGGGATGATATAGAAAAATAGGTTCCCAAGACACCGTCATCCCTTCTACCTGCCCTGATGACTCTCCCGTCGCTGGCCCTCCTCAGCCCAGCCTACTTCCTTCTCCCATGAGCAGTACTGTGTAAACACCAAGGCCAGACTGGTGCCGGCAGATGGCGGGCTGCCACTCAAGAACGAGAAGGGTGAAGATGCCTGGCTGGGCCCACCTCTCAATGTTCCCTGCCTGGGGAGTTTCTTCCCGTCTTCTGCCTTTTGAATGAAAATGTTGGGGCGCCTGGGTGGCTCCAGTTGGTTAAGTGTCCGACTTTGGCTCAGGTCATCATCTCACGGTTTGTGGGTTCGAGCCCCGCATCGGGCTGTGTACTGACAGCTCAGAGCCTGGAGCCTTCCTCGGACTCTGTGTCTCCCTCTCTCTCTGACCCTCCCCTGCTCACACTGTCTCTCTCTCTCAGAAATAAATAAAAATTTTTAAAAAATTGTAAAAAAAAAGGAAATGTCATCTGTTCCCAGTGTCCTTGCTTTATTCCCTGTCTCTTTCCACTAATTTGCCTTTCTCTAAGCCTCCCCCTTTCTTTCCTTATCTTCCCCCTTTTTCTTTTAATGTGACCGCCCTATTAGGGAGGAGTACGTCGTGGTTGAGAGCGGGGAACTCCATCCAGACTGCCTGAATTGAAATCTTGGCTCTGCCTACCACTCAAAAGTTGAGTCCCCTGGACGACCACTTCAGTGTCCTTATCTATAAAAAGGGGCAAGAATAATGCTTACCTAGCGTGGTTGCTAGGAGGTTCCAGGAGTTACCAGAGGTGCCGTGCTTAACAATGCCTGACACACGGTAGGTACTTGCTGAATGGGAGCTGTTTTCATTGTCCAAAAACCTGCCCATTCATATGTCTTCACGTTGGCTTGTGCTGTTGGCAGGAAGGAGACCGCTGCAAGGTCTTCTGACTCCGAGTCAAGGCTGGGACTCTGATGGACCATGCTCCCACCAGGGGCCTTAGAGCCCTTCCCTGCTCAGCCTGGGTGGTGGGAACAGGTCTCCTCCATGCTTGGCCTTCTCACTGTCCGTCTGCCTTCTCTTTGGTTTGTCCCTTCCCTGTCCTTCCACTTCCAGAGACATTCTAAAGTTGGAAGACATGCAGCTCTTCTAAGCTACCGGCCCCTCCACTGAATGGGGCAGGGACACGTGATCTAGTGACAGTGTCCCAGGTCACTGGACTAGAGGACAAGAGATGCCTGTTGTAGTCCTGGTTCTGCTGTATGACCCGGAATAAGTCGTTCCATGTGTCCGGATTGCAGTGTCTTCCATTTCAAAATGGCGGTCATTACCCCTCTGCTTTGTCCCTCTCTGCAAATCACCAAACATGGGATTTTGAAAAGTGCTCTCCTGGCTGCCATGTGTTACAGAAGCAAGGATCCCTGGTGGTCTCGGAGGGAGCAGAGGGTTTGTGGCATTAGCTGTGGCCACAGTCCTTGCTACTGACAGGAGAAGCAAATCAGTGTTGGTGTTTGCTGTGTGAGGTTGTGTGAGGTTGTGCTCATGGGGACCCGAGATGGGAGTTGCCAGTGTCCTTCCCTGCTCGACCTCTGTTCTCTCTTCTGGCCCATGGGTGACTCAGTCAGGAAACTACCAGCCATCACTTCAAAAAGCTTGGACTCCTCTCAAGGATGTGCTTACTTTGCGTTGTCCTGTGTTTGTTTGGATGGTGGCGGGAATAATTTACGGAATCAAGGACAGATCCTCGGAGCGAGCCCCTCCTCCCTGGCAGGGCCTCTGCGGCCAAATCAATAAAATGGAAGGAGGTGGGGCGTGCTGAGGGCTGGATTAGGATCACAAGTTACCCAAATGCTGGTCCATGGACCAGAGCCAGATTGGTGACATCAAAACTCTCCAGAAGCCTTGGCCGCTTCTCCAGGACAGAATTGTACTTTTCGTTAGCTTCTCCAGATGCGTAATCAGTTTGGGAACTGCTGGAGTGGGTGGGATTGGGCTTGCGTGTCAGGGAGCTCCACGTCCCCTGCCCCCTCCTGGTCCCCATCAGAAGGCTGCAAAGTGTTAATCGCATTAGCATTGAGGCATGATTAGGTTATGATTAGGGTTATTTATTTGTGTGCTTGTTCAACATAACCAGGTGACTGTATCCTTAAAGATGCACGTTGGAAGTTGGGGACTTTTGTGAGCGTCTGCAACTGAGTAGTGGGATCAACATGGGTAGGAGAACATTCTGGAAGTATCTGAGAATGATAGTCTGGGGGAGGCCCAGTGTTATACTGGCCTGACCCTCTTAAGTTTTAGGGTGGAAGAAAGTGGGATTGGTGCTGGGCCCCGGTGGGAGAACCCAGTCTCTGTCCTATACACTGAAAAGGGATTGTAATTCTGAGGGTGTTTGACAAAGAAAGCGGTTGGGGGTGGGATGGCTCCCCTGAGACTGAATTAGTTCAACATCTTCCCTGTTGTTTCCAAGTCCTTTTGTGGCACATTTGGCCACTCCGCCAAGAGGCAAGAGATGTGGTCTTACCCCAGGATCCTTCTTCGGAAGTTCACATTCTTCATCGTCCACACCCAGGTGCGCGGAAACCAGCCCCTGTGTCGGGGCACCCTTTTCCTCAGGCTCTGCTCTGTGGTGGGAACTTACGAGCACAACCCCCAGTCCAGAGGAAGCCAACCTCTTTCCTCCTCTACCTCCGTGACCTGGCTTCCCAAACTTCAGGGCCATCCCACGAATGGCGGCTCAGAAATCACTTTCTCATCAGGCCAAGGACTTTTCAAAGTTGCTGTGTTTTCCCTATCATTTCCTTCCTTCCTCCTCCCCCCTTCACTTCCTGTTTTTTCTTCCTCTTTCTCCGCCCCCTCGCCCGGCTCTCCAGCCATGTCCCTTGTTGTTTGAGAACAGGAACAAAGCGCCAAGCGTAGATAATCATGATTTCCTGATGGGCCTGCTCAGTGCCAGGGCCCAGGGACACAGGAGCCTCTGCTCAGAGCATGGCAGGAAGCTGGGCCGTAGAGCCCCCTGGCTGAAAGAGGTCTAACAAGAACAATCTTTCATGTCCTTACGACAATTCATAGTTTCCAAAGAACTTTCTCCTGCATTCGAGCTAAAACACTGGAAAAATAAGACAAATCCTAGGGATTTTGGCCTAATAACTAAAGTCTACATGAAGCAGACAACACATAGATGTGGGAGTTAGATATGCATTTATTTCCGGTTCTACACCTTCTTCCCATTATGACTCTATGGATCATTCTAGTTCTCTGAATCTCGGTTCTCTCCATTTTGGAAAAATGGAGTTCAGGGTAGCTGGTGGGGAATTTTTGTTGACAAATCAAGGAAATGTATCTGTAAGATTCATTCAGTATGCCTGGCAGATATTATTTACTTAATAAACGTGAGATCCCTTCTTGGGTTTTGGTTTTCTGCAAAGAGGAGGGGCGGTTCGAATCCCTAGTAGCCAGAAAAATCACAGAATAAACGATACCCATGGGAGGGAGGGACTATATTTGTTACTGGGTTTTCCCGAAACATGGAGAGAGAGAAAGACAGACAGAGAGACCTAGTGGCTGGGCACAGATCACTGAAAAACAAAGCCCACCCACTACTGAGCCCCTGGGGCCTGCCAATTCCATAACGGTATTTTTCTAATGGGAAACAGAACAATCCCAACCGCATGCCTGAGGTAGACTGTTTCACTAATTTATCTCCCAGGGGCAGAACTACAAAAACAGCAATCTGGAAAAAAGTCCCACCTCCCTTATAGAATATCTGTTTAAAAAACAAAACAAAACAAAACAAAACCAAAAAACCCCTTCCCATTCAGGGTCAATGACCACTTGTTTGAGGAGTCAGCCAGACCATGAGGCTGCTTTTTAAAAAACATTCCGAAGGCCAGAGAGTCAGAGACATGTTCTAATCTGAATCCCCCAAGTTGCTGAATCTTGAACGAGGCTGCTTTCTTCTGCGCCTCATTTTCCCCAGCTACAAAACGAAAGCATTAGACGAGGTGAGTGCATCGATTTCTTCCAGCCCTGGGAATCTGTGATTCTGGCATTCTCTCTGTTCTCCTTAAAAAATGTATTATTTCTAGAGGAGAACAGGAAACGGCCTCTTAAAGTAACATGACTTGCATTCCCTTTCAGCAGATTATCACTCACGTAAGGACCGAGAAGCCACAGGACTCTGGGGGCACAGCCCTGACTCCACAGCCAGACTTGCCTCGGCCAACTTGTTCGGCGGGTTTGTTGCATCAGCCTGGACTGGTGAACCTCAATCACAAGAGATAGTGCCAGGTAAGAACGCTGACTTCGGTTACGGCAGATGACACGGTGGTGGCCTTCCTCTTCAGTGGAAAGAATGTGCGGTGTGTGTGCTTGTAGAACACTGGGAAGTGTTAAGGGTGGTCGTTTCACCAGATTCGTCATCTCTGATTAGAAGGCAGTGCGTCCTGGCACCAAATACACATAAAAGGAAACAAACAAACAAACCAAGGTTGCAGTTTTGAAGTGGTTAAAGGGAGGGTGTCTGGGAGGCTCAGTCGGTGGAAGGTCCGACTCTCGTTGTCGGCTCCGGTCATGATCTCACGGTTTGTGGGATTGAGCCCCACTTTGGGCTCTGTGCTGACAGCATGGATCCTGCTTGGGATTCCCTCGCTCCCTTCTTCTCTGCTTCTCCCCTGCTTGTGAGCTCTCTCTGTCTCTCAAAATAAATAAATAAACTTAAAATCAATGAATGAATGAATGAATGAATAAAGTGGTTAAAGGTCCCTGCGTTCTAACGCTGTTCTGAGCGGCGGGCTGTTGCTGTCCAGAGCTGGGAGTGTTGAGTCATGAAGTCGAGTAGCTTAGATCCACACACGGGGAGAGCATGTTAGAGCTGTCCCTCCCGGTGACTTTTCCTTGCAGAATTCACTTCAGATGAAGCACAATCTGGGTTCCTTTCGTGCCCGTCCTGGCCGTGCAGACTCCGGCGGGCAGGGAAGTCCTTACGCAGCAAACCCAGGGTGGAATTCGGGTCTCGCGCCAGAGGCCTGGGTCGCCTGGCACTTGCTAGAACACGTTGTGAGGCATTTTCAGTTGGCGAGGTTCTCATCCAGGAGCGCTGCCATGCACCGGCTGCAGCCAGCCGGGCACCTGGGCTCTTTGTGGTTACTGCGTTCCTCCTCTGTCACCTCCTCCTGATCCGTTACGGGTCACTTTTCTTCTGATCTGCAAGGACGGCGCCACATCGGCCTGAATTTCGTCATTGAACTTGGGCTTAACATGAACCGACACCCCTCCCAGGTGACGAAGGATCCGCTGAGGGCTCAGCACCCTGGGTTCTGGTATTGGAACACATCTCCAGAGCTGGCCCAGGGCACCCAGAAGGACAGGACCGGGAGTCACGAGGAGATGCCAGTATGCTGAGAAGGCCATGCACCTGTTCATCTTTCTCCAGTTGCTGCTGTTATCTTCTGCTGCCCTGTGTCCTTAAGCTCCTCTTCTTCATCTGGATGTCTTGAGCTCCCTTAAAACTAGAAGTAGAAACATTTCATACTGCTGAGTTCAGCACAGAAGGCAAGACCTGGTGATTTCTAAGATGCTTCCCAGTTTCATCCTGGGCTTGTTCCTTATGCCAGCTTCTCACTCTTTGGGGGAATAGGATCCTCTTGTGCTCCCTTCCCTTTCCTTCCTCGTAATGGTTTCTTTCCCAGAGTGGCCGCCAGGCTCCAGCATAATTCAGAGGAAGGAGAAGAGCTTTTGAAATGTGTTCACATAGTGTGTTACCAAGTCTTGCCTTCAGGGTAGAGAGGGGGTGAATTCATTCAGCAAACGTTTGAGTGTGGATTCTGTGTCAGTGCTAGTGTAGACACTAGGTGCAGATGATGACTAGGTGTAGACCCGGCCCTCGAGGGGTTTATGGTTTTACTGGGAGACCTGCTAGTGACCAGACAACACATCTGATGGGTGGCTGTGAGGGAGCCCAAGGAGAGGCTCCTGCTCCAGACAGAGGGACAGGATGGGACAGCATTTTGGGCATGTCGCCTCCACTCAGCCCTAGAGGTGAGGAGCGGTGAGTAGCAAGGAGCGTAGGCAGTGTCAGGGAGAGGTGTTGGGAGTATCAAGGCAGAGGAAAGACATAAGCAAGGGATGCCCGGTGCCCGGCACCATGCTTGTGAGTCACTGGAGTGTGAGGTGAGGCGAGTCTGAGAGGCCCGTTCAGAGGGGGAAGATGGACGGCTAACCAGGAGCCTTGAATGCCCAGCCAAGGGTGTTGAGTGCATTTGAGGTAAGCCTAGCACCGGGGACAGTTCTTTAAGCAAAGATTGATGGCCTGATGAGATTGGAGTTAGATGAAACAAAGGGTCTAATTTTATTGACCCTAAATTTATTCTGATTTATCAAAAAATGCTTCGTTTTTTTAAGTGCTTATTTTATACCTGCTCCAGGTAACATGAAAAGATCATAGTTTCCTCAGATGTGAAATAGGTTCATGCAGATGGACTGAAGGAAATGGTCTTCTGGAGCTGAGGAATACACAGCCCTTTCTGCTACCCGGTACCCTAGTGAATGCTCAACACTGACAGTTTCCTCTGTGGTCTTGGCACTCAGATTGCTGGGAAGTGGTGAGAATGCGAGCCTTGCTTCTGATTGGAGAAAGTAGCTGGCAAAAAAAGCCCATGCTTTTCTAGTAGAAATGATAGAATTTAGGTCTTGAAACATTTTTTTTTCTAGTCAGAAAACAAATGGGTAATATCTATCTCTTAATCCTCTCCTAGCTGAATAGGACGATAAGAATGTTCTCTTTAGAAAGTACACATTCATTGGCCAGACAATACCTGGGTCCCTACTATGTGGCAGACACAGTACTAGGCCTGGAAACCCTCAAGACAAATTAAGCATACTTATCCCTCCAAGGAGGTCATGTTTGTGACAATGACAGAGGAGCCAGCAGTCACAGACGCAGATAGTGGGTAGGGGCCCCTTGCGTGCACAAAGTATAGAAACAGAACATGTTCTCTGCCCTGGGAAGTCAGGAAAGGCTTCCAAAAGGGGCCAAATGATCTGGGTTTTGAAGGGTGAGTAGGAGTCAGGAGCTGGGCCAGAGACACCCCTGGACAGAATGGCACTCTATAAATAAGGGCCAGTGTTCAAACATCTGTGGTGGTGGTGGTGGTGGAGAGGAAGTAGCCAGAGTGAGCATCGTGCCCAGATCATGCCTCGACTCTGCTTTTTAGAATCCATTAGTAGCCGCCTCTTCCTCAGCCTCCCACCTTGTTCCCAACAGTGACTAAAAATAATCAGATTGACTAAGTTGAGCTGGTCTCTTCTCTGACCCCATGGAGGTGTTAGTGAGTGGAATCGGATGAGAGGGACCAAGAAAAGAAGTGGAAAGAGGGGGAGGAGGAATCCATCCTCATCATCCAGAAACTCTCCTATAATCGTATAGCTCGCACCGTGGCTCTTGGGTAGCGGAATCCAACTGGACAGACAACTAGGTCTGTGGCTTCCCAGTGAAAACTGCAAGTGATGTTCCATGTTCCTCTCCCTTCCTCTTAGAAAAATATGCCTCTCTCTCTCTCTCTCTCTCTCTCTTTCTGCATATGTGTGTGTGTGTGTGTGTGTGTGTGTCTGTATGTGCCAGATGCAGGTATCTGTGTGTGTGTGTACATGGAGGTGTGCACACAGACACACATCTGTAGCACATAGGATCTATTCTAGCGGAACAGTCTGGTGCCAGTGCCCTCCAGCCACACATGCCAGCTGCAGGATGAACAGATGCATTAGAATTGGCCTTGCTGACCTGCACACTTCCCCGGGGGTGTTGAGGTCTGTGTGCTCCCTGGTACTGGAGGCGGGGGGGTCACAAGCACACTAGGATGCTGTTACAGAAGACAAAACTGAAGCTCAGAGGCACGAAGCAGCTTGCCCAAGGCCCACAGCTACCAGGTGGGCAGGAGTCAGACTCCCTTGTGACCGGCTCCCCTCCTGCTCTGCCTGCTGTGCTCTCCTTCCGATCAACCAGTGAGGAGCAGTTAAGAATCACCCCTGCACGTGGCCTTGACCCAGAGCTCTGAAATGCAGAACTGGACCAAGTAGTGACATCCTATCTTGGAGTCCTCTCCAGATCTTCTGATGCCAGCAAACTCTGTTTCGCTCCACGGGTGTCTCTTAACATGCTTCCAGGCATGGGGAGCTCATTACTTTATAAAACAATTGGTTCTGCTTTGGGCCCTGGGGACCCTTCCCTCCTTGCAGAGCTCTCTCTGAACCTGACCTTATCCCTTCTGTAGTAGGCTTACTTCCGATTGTTATTGTGATTGTTTGTGAGTAATCTCTGCACCCAACGTGGGTCTCAAACCCATGACCCTGAGATCAAGAGTAGCATGTTCTACTACTGCCTGGGCCAGCCAGGCACCCCCTCACTCCTAGTAAGATTAACCATCTCCACAGCAAGCAGCTGAAGGAATGAGTGTGCTGTTCTGATTGGAGTCTCCGGGAGACACGGGCAGCCCCAAAACGTACCCTCCTCCCCACTTCTCCCCTTGGAGAACCTGGAGGATCAGCCTGGCATCCTGGACTCTTGGTCCTGGGAGATCTCTGTGTTCTCCCTGACAGACTCCCACCTGGCACCTGGGTTCTTCTCTTCTCCCTCTAAGGAAAGTCCTCACCACGAGCTTTTTGTCACCCTCTTTGCTGCAGAACCCTGGTAGAGGGTGAGTAAGGTTCCCCTTGGGTGCCTTTAACAGACATAAGGTGAAGTTTGGAAAGAAGGAGAAGAGATGAGAAAGAAGAGGAAGGAAGGAAAGGAGGGAAGGACAGGATGGCTGTGGTGTGGGGATTAACTTGAGTTCTGGCCCAAGCTGCGGCACTGACTCACCATTTGACCTTGGACACCCCCTTCCCTTCTCTGTCGTCACTATGTGGGAGTTGGGCTTCACTGTCCAGGGCTTTCCCTTTCCGAACTTGACTCCCGAGAGAGAGCCATGGCCGCTGAATCCGCGTGCCGTCCAGCTGGGCCCTGAGGTGCGATTCACATTTGCGTCACCAGCGCCAGGAAGCGCAAGGGAAAGAAGGGGAGGAACTGGGCTCTTCTTTTCGTCACGGCCGGCGGGGCCTCCATCGCCCTGGAGCACAGAACAGCTGGTCTGGTTCCCCAAGTCAGAGGGCTCCGCCTGCACCCCGCACCCACGCCGATGCTGTGAGCCCCGGTGCCCTTGCTCCGCTCCTTCGTTCCAGTTTTCCAACTTCTTGAAGCTCTGTCTGTGCTCCTCCTCTGGGCTGGAGGACAGGAAAGTCAGCCTGAGGTGCTTGGCTCAGCCCCAACGGCGAGCTGGCCTTTCTCTGGGACTTGGGTGCTGCCGGCCCAGCGGCCCCTGCGTGAGGGGACTTCATCTGACCAGCAAAGCGGAGCGAAGCCCAGGCAGCAAATGGGCAGAGGCATCCCGGGGAGAGAATTGTTACTGAGGAAATCAGGCACAGAACGTGTCTCCTCCAAAGACCTCACTTCCCAGCAGGCTCTTCTCCTGGTTGTGCCCAGAGACAAGGGAACGTGCAATGTCACGTATGTCCTTCAGCTGCCATTATGTGGGAGAAAAGGCGCCTGGCAATGTGATGACACGCAAAGGCGTGTGTCCCTAGTTTTAGGGAATGACACGTGACAGTGTGCATCAGAGTGGACTTCAGGTGACGTTTGGTTCAGTGGCGGTCGTCATGAAAAACTGTGTCACGTGATGGTTAGGAGAACAGACTGGACCCAGACTGCCCGGGTCAGAATCCTCTCCCCGTCGCTAGCTGCTGAGCTCAGACCGTTGGCACACCCCTCATGCAACAGTTTCCTCGTCTGTCCAGTGAGAGTCCATCGCACCTTCCTCATAAATAAGGTTGCTTTGCTCTTTAAATGAACTAGCGCATGTACCTGCTCCCGGCGGTGCATGGCACATAGTAGGGACTCAATTAGTATAAGCTCTTGTTATTTTGATCTAAAGCCTCAGTTTTATGTTTTATTTAAAAGTAAGTTTTCGGGGGGCACCTGGGGGCTCAGTCAGTTAAGCATCCAACTCTTGGTTTTGGCTCAGGTCATGATCTCATGGTCTGTGAGCTTAGGCCGCGTCGGGCTCTGTGCTGACAGTGCAGAGCCTGCCTGGGATTCCCTCTCTCTCTCTCCCCCTCTCTCTGCCCCTCACCCCGCAAACAAATTTTAAAAATTATTGAATAAGGTAAGTTTTCGGGATGCTCTGTGGGTTCAAGCATTTGAAAGCTATTTGTTAAGCATGTTCGGTGGGTTTCCAAGCGGAAGTCAGCAGTGGTGATAAGCAGACCAAGGTCAGATGTGACCCCCACCTGTGCTGTTAGAATGACCAAGGCATTTTAGGAGACCGGAAGTGGGGCGGGGGTGGGGGGATCACTGACCCAGGAGGCCACTCAGAGGAAGGGGGCGGCTCAGAGTGGCAGTGGTGACCAGGACCCTGGGGGCAGAGAAGGAGGCAGAGATCCGCAGGGACGGTGGGGGGTGGGGGAGGGAGAGAGAGATTGCGTGACCGTGGTCATCGGGGTTGGCGTGGGCAAGCCTGCGGGTGGAGATCCGTCCACCGTGTCCAGCTCCGTGTCGGGGGAGGGAGGGGCCCCACCGCACAGGCGGGACGGGAGCAGACCCCGCTGCCCCAACGCGGAGAGAGCACAGGCCCCTCTGTGTGCCGAAGAGCCCTGGCCGGGCCTCCTCTCCGTGAAGGGCCCCACAAAGGCTCCCTTGTTCTCCCCTGACATCAGACCTCGCCCTCAGGACTTCTCTGTTCCTCTGGGGCAAGATCTCACACAGTGATAATAGCGTGGAAGGGAAGGGAGGGAGCAAGTGAAGGCTGGCTCAGGCGTCGCCATGCCAACCCTCGCCCCACGGGGGCAGGAAGATGGCGCCCCTGCCACGTGCACACACGCACCTTCCTGGTCCCGCCCGGAGGGTGCTGAGCTGCCGAGCACCTGGTCCGGGCCCAGCAGGAGCGGCTGATAGCGGTTCTGAGAGATGCCGGCTGCTTGGTCAGTAATGCACAAAATATTAAGAGGGTCATATTGCTGCACACAACGGGCTGATTGTTTTCTGTTGTTTTTTTCTTAAGTAAGCAAGTGTTGCATTTAAACACCTGGGCTTTCTATTTTCACAAAGATTTGTATTGGGAGTTTGCCTTCAAAATTTCATAAAAGCTTACTGATTAGAGGGATCTGTGTGATTATCTGGTCTAGCTTCTGTCTGATCTTTTTTCCAGGTGAGTAAACTGAGGCTGGATGAGCGGGGAGTATGAGGCAATTTGAACAACGGGAAGAGTAAGAGCTTCATAGCCAATCTAGTCCTGGGCTCCAGGATCAGGATACTGTGTGTCAAGCACTTAGCGCAAGACCTGGATCCATGGCTGGGGGCGGGGCCTCAGGAAATCCTGTCCCTGATTATTTTCTGAACTTGCATGTGTGCCAAGTGGGATCAATAAACGAAACACTCATAAAACAAAAAGCGTTAAATCAGTACAGGGGAGACTCCTGATTTCCTTCGTCCTAAAAAAACCTGCTTTCTTCCGAGATACAGGATGAAAAGGGAACTTCAGGGGCACCTGGGTGGCTCAGTCGGTTGGGTGTCCGACTTCAGCTCAGGTCATGATCTTGCGGTTCGTGGGTTCGAGCCCCTCATCGGGCTCTGTGCTAACAGCTCGCCCAGAGCCTGGAGCCTGTCTTCGGATTCCGTGTCTCCCTCTCTCTCTAGCCCTTCCCTGCTCATGCTGTCTCTATCTCTCTCTCAAAAATAAATAAAACATTAAAAAGAAAATTAAAAAGAAAAGGGAACTTCAAATCCTTAGTCTAGCACTGAGGCTTCTCAAGTGTACGGCCGAGGCCACAGGCCCGTCCGTGAAGGTGAGCTGCTATCTCGTCCGTGTCTCCAGTGTGCTTCCCGCACTCCGCTGGGCACCACGTGCCCGGAGGGGAGGCTGTTTTGTGTTGTGGGCTTCTCTGCGGGGCCAATGGCAGCGCAGCATCAGACCTCGTGTTTGAATGAAAATTTGCGACCTTCAAGTGGGATTAAGCTGCAGCCTAAACAGCACTTGATCCATCTGTGAGGCTGGGAGCTCCACAGCAGATGGAGAGCTTTCAAATTCAGTCATTTGTGGCCACGGACACCAGCCTGGGAACCCCAGCTGCAGGGTCAAGTTTAAATTGGGATAGCGTATGGTTGAGTCATCAAGCGCAGGGCTGGGCTTTAAAATAAATGTGGAGATAAACTCGGTGAGTTTGTTTGTTTGGTTTAATTGTGGTCTTGGTGGATCAATCCAAACAGGGAAGTCCCACCGTGACTCTGCTGCCTTCTCTGTGTATTGTGAGTTTCCTGCAGTAGCATCCTCTCTCTGAAAGCGGCGCCATATGTCTGGACGCCCGTCTGTGTAGAAACAGCCTGTCTGTCTATAAGCACGGGGGCGGGGGCACAATCACTTAATGCAGAATCTCCCGCTACCATAATGTACACTTCCAGAGTGTTTTCAGTTGTGCCAAAGTGAACTACAGAGACTTATTTTGATAAGCTTGGGATAGAATTTCAGCCTTTCCCCCCCCTCTTCTATTTTTTCTTTTACGTTGCACTCCAACTGGGGTCAAGGTGATTCAGCCGCAAGCCCTGTTTCCCTTGGAAAACGTGACTTTAGAAATTAGCGAAAGCAGCTGGAGAGGATGATTACTTAGCCAAATGGTTGAATCTATTCATCTTTCCTCCCCGCCCCACTTGCCTTGGCCCATTGCTGGCTGACTAGTTAAGACCAGTGCCTTTGAAATGACCTTGAACAGGAATTAAGTGAGTTACTGAGTTAAGCGTCGGGTACTACTGCTGTGAATTTAAACATCTTACTACTAAGAGGAATAACATGTAGAAAATACCCAGGTCACTGGAATTGATTCCTCCGCTTCGTCCTTTTGACAAACTTCTGCTTTTGGGCTAAGGCCCTACCCTGACCTGGTCTGGCAATTTTAATGTGAGACGATAATGCCCCTTAGTGGAGAACATGCTTAACTGCAAGCTCTTGCATTTGCCCAAAGAAAAACTGTTTAAGCCAAGGACCTCACTTCCATAATTCTTTTTTTTTTTTAATTTTTTTTTTCTGTTTTATTTATTTCTAGGAGAGAGAGAGAGAGAGAGACAGCATGAGCAGGGGAGGGTCAGAGGGAGAGGGAGTCACAGACTGAAACAGGCTCCAGGCTCTGAGCTGGCAGTCAGCACAGAGCCCGACGCGGGGCTCGAACCCACGAACCGCGAGATCATGACCTAAGCGAAAGTTGGACGCTTAACCGACTAAGCCACTGGGGTGCCCCTCACTTCCATAATTCTTAAAACTAACCTAGTTTTGAGGGTCATCTGGAGAATCACATGAGATCATTTGTGGGCAGCACTTAAAATAGCATCGAGCACAGGGCTGACAGTCGCTGTGATCGTGGTTGTCTCACAAGGAGGATTTGGGGAAGCAGGGGGTGAGTGAAGTCATCTTCCAGGCCCCAGGGTGTTAGGTCCGCGCCCTCCGTGTCAGCGGTGATGTGTCAGCTCGCCCTCACCTGGGACAGGACTCCCTCACAGCTGCCCCGCCAGCCTGGTGGCAGCGGAGCCCACATCTGCAAGTGCACCCGAGTTTCCAGTTTCCGCACAGGAATTTCGATTCGAAGAGACATCCGCAAATGCGAACCCACAGCCCGGAGATGTGTTATTTTGTCTTGTCCGTCCCTGACCTTGGGCTTCTCCCAGCTCAGCCTTCAAATCTGATTGGCAGAGCCAAAGGCAGGGACAGTCACAGGCTTCTCTTTGTGCGAATGAGTCGCCGGCCATGTCCTCCAAGCGGGTGAGGCGGGCTGTTCTCAGAGCCCACTTGCTGCCTGTCTTCAGTCCGTTTGTGCATCGCTGAGGCCATAGTTTGCTTTCAAATGAGTTTCCTTTCTTTTAATTGTCAAGTATAGCATGAGATCCCTGTCTGCCTCTTCATACGCCAGAAACTAGCTATAGCTTCATTAAACCAGGTGGAAGGGGGAAAAATATTCCTCCTTCCCTCCCTTCCTCCCTTCCTCCCTTCCCTCCTTCCTTCATCCCTCCCTGTCACACTTTTTCCTTCCTCTGCCTGCTCATCCTTCCTTCCCTCTTTCTCTTCCTAAGTAAATGGCTGGGGCTCAGACAGGAGATCCTTGGATACAGATTTCGGCATCCATACGGTGACTTCTGAACTCACTTGTTTTCCTTTTATTTAGTAAACGGGTATTCCCTGAGCGGCCTGCTGTGGATTCAAGCACAGAGTCCTAGGTCCTGTCCTGGAGGTGCTCACCTTCTAGGGAGAGAGGCAGACAGGTAAGCAGGAGTGACCGGAACGTGGAAGGGTGGCATGTGAGGGCTCCTGGGGCTCCGGCGAGAGGTGGAGGGCAGGGGACGCTGCCCCACCCCCCGCCCCAGGACTGGGACAGGCCTCCCGGCACGCCGCAGGCCAGCCAAGGGTATCCGTCTACCTGGCAGAGAACTTCCTTTAAAGCATGTGCAAACGCACATAAGAAAATCAGTCCCACCACCCCTTCATCGTAGCCAGAAGACTTGGATCTGCCAGGGGGTCTGCAGCTGAGCCTGTGACGCCTGTCACTCCCGAGGCCCCTCGTCCACACCCACCCACCCCGAGTGCGTGATCTGGCCCCACCTTCCATCCAGCTCCCGAGCCTCGCCAGGTGCCTGACGTCCACTGGCGCTTTCTCCCTCCAGACTTCACAGCCTCCTTCTGCCTGAAACCTTTCCAGCTTATTCCAGCCCAGATGAGTCACCTCCTCTCTGCACCTCTTTGCCGGAACTCTTTCCCTTCACCCCAATCGCAGTCCTCACTAGAACCTTGCATCCTTTACAGAGGGCTTTGAACATGGCTTCTTGCCCTCAACAGATTGTGCTCTCAGACCGCTGCAGGGACCGCATCTTACTGAGAACTAGTCTCTAAAAAGAGCACATGTTCATGTATTTATTTCTTACACCAGTCACCAACTTTCTGTACTCTGTTAAGGGGTGTGCAAGGTATTGAGGATGGAGAAATAATTAAGGCCTGCCTTTAAGGAGCTCAACAGACCTGTATAAGTATTTTAATTTTGGAAGAAATATAGACAGGACTTACCAGGTGTTTGTATATAGACAGATAGATTTTCTGTGTATAGATAGATTGATAGAATATCTATCTATATCTGTATCTCTATCTCTATGTACTAGGGTCATTGGAAGGAAGATGACAATTTAACTTGGGAGCAGGTGTCAGGGTGGGGTGAGGAGGAGGTACTGGATTTCGTTGGCGGTGGGGGGATCAGCTAAATTATATTGAATTCAAATTGATAGATAGCCCAGCAGAGCCAGTAGAATTTTGCCAACTAAACAAAATCTTTGGCGATAGCAGTACTTTCTAGAAGTTTTGAAAAAAGCTTATCTTATTCCAGCGAAACGCCACCATTTCCTGGGCGAGCTAACTAGACTCCCAGAGCCTGGGGATCTATGTTAACGTCATTATTTTGTCATCTCGTGGAATTTTTTTTTTTTTCAAATTTGAAACGTGAAAGCCAAAGATAGAGCTGTGGTGTTTGCAAATTATTGCCAGCCTAGTGCCTTAATGTTCCAGTTGTACTATTACCGTAATTGCATCGAGACCTGATTTGGGCTTCTGGTGCTGGGACATGGCGGCTCCTCAACTGTTTCTTGAATTCCAAAGAAGAAAGGGTCTGCGTTAGAGAATGTCATATTAGACCTTCGAATACACATGAAGGCTTAAACCAGGCTGCCCAAGCATTGCCTAATAGAGGTTCTTGGGGAAACTTTCTGCATATATGAAAACTATTTTCAGTTTGCGTGCCTTTGTGTTTCACACTTGCTGCCTCAGACATACCCAAGGGCTTGAGAACAATTTCTCTGCAGTAGTATAGACATTCCACCAGATTTCAGAATCACTGCTCTTCCACACACTAACTTTAGCACTTCCTGATGGCGGCAGTGGTCAATGTTGAGACAGTGTGGGACACTGGAAAGTGCCGGGGTTCTATCGTCACTGTCCTTGCCATATAACTTGTAAGGCACACCGCTTCAAGAACAAGACCGGGGAGGGGAGGGGTACGGCTTGCGGAAGTGCTGCTGGTGTGAAATGGTGTTGCTGAGATGAAAGGTACATCCCCGTTCTAATTAGCTTAGCTCGTGATTTGGCATTAGGTTGCCCGGATGCAGACTTGGAAACTGTTGCATATTTGCACCCTATAAAACCCTAGGAAGTTGGAACACGGAGGAGCTCCAGATCCCTGAGCCAGACGTGGTGGGCAGCAGATGATAAGGCTGAGGCTCAGAGCAGGAAAATGACCTTCTCCAAGGTCCTGTAGCAAATAAGTGGCTAAAATGAGATTAGGGCACTGAGCCCATGACTCTCTGTGTGCTTGGTGGCATTACAGAGGCATTATGGTCAGTGGTGTCTCCTATGAGCTTCAGGCCTTGGGTTACACAATAACCGTTTGACCCATCCAAGGCACCAAGCATTTCTGCCCAGGAATGTCCCTGCTCCGCTTTCTGGTTGCAGAGTTCCTATGTCGTCAGTCCTCAGTGATTCTTCTGACCTTCTCTCCTTCCCCTCCTCTCCAAGATATGCTTTCTCTTTGATGGTCTCACACTGGCCCTCTTTGGGACCCTGCCCACTGGCCATGCATTTCCCCACCCCCTGCAATGACTAACTCTCCCTCTTTTGTATCCAAAAGACAGTGTCTGACCCAAATGCCAGACGACTGGAGAGCCTCCCCTCCCGTGGGATATGGAAGAAAAAACTTAGTTTTTGTTGACAGAGAAACTCCATGGGGTCATGGGAGTTTTGTTTACGAATGAATGACTTCATTCATTCCACATGTATGTGTGTGTGGTGTTCCCACTGTGTGCCAGGCCGCAGTCTAGGAGTCTACACAAGTCAGTGGTTAATAGAGATTTAAAAGAAAAATAAAGACAGTGACTGGGCATGGGGTGGGGCGAGTTGAGGTGGGAGAAATACTATTTTGGACCCATTGGTGAGGCTGCGCTCCATTGAAAAGTAAACCTTGAACAGAAGCCTAAAGGAAAACCATGCAGATGTATGGGGGGAAAGCATTCTGGGCAGAAGGACTAGCGAGTGCAAAGGTCCTGTGACAGAAAGAGATGTGATACGTTCAAAAAAGAAGAGGTAAGGAGGCCGAGGTAGCTGAGGCAGAGTGAAGGGGAAGTTGCAAGCGAGGAACCACTGGGGATCCCATCACATAGGATGCCTTGTTGACTGGGGTAAGGATCTTGCACCCTGCTCTAAGTAAAACAGGTCACCACTAAAACACCGTAAGGAGAGGAGTGACCTGCAATTTTTTAAACATCAGTATAGCTGCCACATAGGCAGTTGGCCTTGAATGAGAGGTTGGGAGTGGACAAGAGCAGAGCTGGGAAGTCTGTTGAAGGGGCGAGAATGATACTTTGGGCAAGAGGGGATGGCTTGTGGCTTGGGCTAGGGCCCTGGTGAGGGAGGCCATGAGAAGCAATTGAATGCAAGAGATATCTTAAGAGTATTGCTGGTGGGATTTGTTAGCTTGGTTATGGGGTATGAGAGAAAGAGAAAAGTTAAGGATAACACCAGCCTTTGGGGACCGAGCTCTTGAAAGCATGGGATTGTCATGGGCTGAGATACGGAAGGCTGGAACAGGGAAGTTTGTGAGGGGAGAAAGCAAACCTTGAACTTGGGGCGAGTTAAGTTTCAGCTATTTATTAGAAGTCACATAGTCCATTGGATATATGAGTCAGGGGGTCAGGCAACAGTTATGAATTTGGAAGGCATCGGCATGCATCTCCAAGGTCATATTTAAAGCTCTCACACATATCAATAGTAAGTGTCGCTCAGAGGAGGTCTCGGTCATGGCCGAGACAACAGAACTGAGACCACAACAATAACAAGGGTAATAGTGATGATGGCAACTACCATTTATGCATCTTACCTATGTTGTCTCATTATTTCTGAAAACCACCCTTGAAGAGGTTGAAATTATCTCTGTTTTTTTGTTTTTTTTTTTTTTTTACAAATAGTTTATTGTCAAATTAGTTTCTACATAACACTCAGTGCTCATCCCCAAAGTGCCCTCCTTCATGCC